GGCCTTGGTTTTTAATAAAAAAAAATTGGGCAAATTGGGCCCCTTTCGATCTTGGGCCTAAGGTGCATGCCTCATTTGCCTCGCCTCAGGATTGAGCCTGACCATCACTACAAAGAAAAAATATGTCTTGTCGATTTCCTTATCCACCATGTGCTTGTGTGAGTGGATGCGACTCTGGTGAGTGTTCATTTTTCTTTTTCCCCTTAAACTCTCTTATTTTCCATAAGTACTTATTCATCTAGATAGAGGGTGCTTAAACTCTTGTATATGCTTTGTTTGATAATGCAACATATAAACACCTTAAATTTGTATAAATATTTTATTGCTTATTAAAACAAAAATATTGAAAAACATGTTTATTATATAATTTATGTGTGGTTCGAAATCAAATAGTTGAAACTCTAACACGAGTCATGCTGCTCCCGGAAACATCACGCACATCGCATTTCTTTTATTTTTTCAATAAATATTTCAATTTGTAACAATATTTCCCTACAGGGATAAACATGTGAGAGAGTCAACCACATATTTTTTGAATAATGATATTCGCAGTCATGCTTTTTTTGTGGAAATTACACAGATCCCTAGAGTTAAAATCCAGGGTTCTAAAATCAGATGACTAATTCTACATTTCAAAATTCAGATATTTCTCATTTTAAATATTATATATTCTCTCTCCAATCTCTTACTTTCTCCTCCACCATATTCTTTCTCTCTCTTACATGTATTTACCTCTATCTAATTTTTATCTCTCTCCAATCTCCTTCTCTCTCCTCCCACCCTATTCTCTCTCTCTTTCTGGCTCCCTCCCACCCGTACCTCTATCTAATTTCTCTCTCTCTCCAATCTCTCTTCTATCCTCCCACTCGTATTCTCTCTCCACCCATCTTCTCTCTCTTTTAGCAGCCTAAGAAACCTATTTCGATTCGGGCGATATCCACTGCGTTGTGCAGCTACCGCTTAGCCTCACGTTGTGTTGAACAGCATCACAGTAATCCCCGCCACCAAGCCCGCACCACCACGGTCGCGATGTGAAGAGCAGTAGCCACAGTCATCTTCCTTCTTCTTCGTTCTTTTCATCGGCAGGCAGGGGCGAATTTACAACCCCACTGCCCCCATGGTTTTTTTACAAAATTTGTGTTTTTGAACCAAAATTAAATTTTTTTTAAAAAAAAATTCCTTATATTTTTTACATTTTGCCCCCATAAATTAAAATTTATGAAATTTGCCCCCATGAATCTTGTATTCTGGCTCCACCCCCGTTGGCAGGTACTTGCTTTCGTCGCCCACGGCGAGATTTGGTGTTGTGCGCGACGGACAGGGATGGATTCGTGGTTTGTGGCATCTCTTTTTTGGGATGGATTTGGGTTGTTTTGTGGTAATTTTTTAGGTGATTTTGTGTCGGTGGTAACAGGGCTACCGGGACATGGTGGTGGTTGTTTTGGAGGTAACAGTTGTGAAGTCAATGCGACGGTGGCAGTGGTGGGGGTGGTGGTCATAAGTGTTGGTGGCAGTCACAGATCATTTTATCTGTGACCGATAAACATGTGACCAGTGAAAAAGAGGAATTGTGAAAAAAAAAAAACATGTGACCTAAAAAATTTGTTAATTTGTGGCTGTTTAATAAATTGTGACTTATAATATTTGTAATCTGTAACCAATAAATAATTTGTGACATATAAATTTTTTGATTCGTGACCAATACAAATTGTGACCTATTGAATTTTTGAATTGTGACCGTAAAATAATTTGTGATATATAAAAATTTTGATTTGTGACCGAAAAATAATATGTGACTAATTAAATCGTGAATTTGTGACTAAATTATATATATTTTTGACCTTAATATTAAATAATCAATGGCTTTAATACATCATCTGAGAGATAAATTGTAGGAGTTTGTTCAAATTTGTGTCTTTTATTCCTCGTCTGAGCTGTCAATTGCAATTTTGATAGGTGAATTGGTTATAATAGAGTCTAAGAATTTCACATTTCTAAAATTAAATCTTACTTGTTTAAATATTAAATATTATTTATTCTCTCTCTAATCTTCTTCTCTCTACTCCTGCCAAGATTCTCTCTCTCCACCCATCCAATTTTTGATTTATGAAACTTCAAACATGTCATCTTAGATTTGAAATGTTTTATACTTATCTTCTGGATTATGAATTTTCCCTTTTTTTTTTACCCATCACGATCCAACTCAGTGCTTATTACTTTTGTTCAACTACAACTAAAAATTCGTCTATGTGTCGTCTTCCTTTTACAATTTTCAAATACAATTTGAAATAAAACCATTATAAAATATGTTAATTGATACATTTAACTAAATCATAAAAGAAACACATTAAGCATTACCCTAGTATAAATTATGAGATGAATGAAAAAGTTTAAAATGAAATTAATATTTATGAGTAAGATAAAATCTATTCGAGTGAAACCACACCAAAATTTCTATTAACTACACCACATTTTAATTGAGATGATGTACCTAATATTATTTATTCATTTCCACAATTATATTTATTGGATTATGCTATTTGTACATAAAAAATGGTGTATAAGAAATTATATAAATGATGTTGAGGAAAAAGATTGGATGAAAAAATTGACAAAGTTTTAAAATGACAAATGATATCATGACATGTGAAATTATGTAACTCATTATATAAAACTTGATGTATATATAGCAATGTCCATATTTATTTACTAGAATATATTGTCCTAATTACGACCAAAAAAATTCAGTAAGGGGGAATAGACATGCTTATTTGCACATCATATTTATAAGATAAACAAGATAGACAACATATAAAAAAGTTCGACAAAAGATTATTTTCAAGTTAACAATATACTCGGACAATGTTGTTTTAATAATTTGAAGGTCAAAGATAGAATATGCAGTCAAAAAGTTGTCCTAAATGCGAGAATGAATAAAAACTGTGATCTTTATTTAAAATTAAAATATGGTACGAGTATAAAATATATAACCTAAAAGAAAAAGACAAAAGGGGCAAGAATTTAACTTAAATCACAACATGGGTCACCAATCTTTCCACTTTGTCACAATTTCATCTCCAATAATTTCGATAGCACATATTCAAAAGTAATACTCTAATACTCAAAGATCGAAGATGATAACGAGTTATTAGAATATAATGTGAATGAAATTGTGATGAAGTAAAAATGTTAGGACCCATTGTGTAACTCCCCAAGGACTTTTAAGTAATATTTTTATTTTTATCTATTTTAAATAAGGCAATTGGCACAAAACGTCCCTACATTTCATGTCTATTGTGGAAAACGTTCATACCTTTCATTTTTTGACATTTTTGCCCTTACCTTCCACCTTTCTTGGTGCTGAACGTCATTTTCACCAATTTTGAACAATTTTACCATCCATTCAAATAAAACAAAAAGAAAGGAAAGAAAACAACAAATAACTAATTGCAACCATAGCTCCCAATTTTTAAAAAATTATAAATCAATCACAAATATATGCAAAATTTTCATCATAAGTGCCAACAACACTTACGTATAGAGAGTGTTTGATAGTCATTTTTATAGAAAAATGAATTTTAGAATAGTAGATTGATGGAGAATGTGTAGATGAAAAGTTTTTTATTTACATGTAATATTATTTTAATGAAGAATATGTGGTTGAAATTAAAAGAGAGAAAAATGTATTTTGAACAAAATGGGAATCAAATAGGGCCATAATGCTTCTTTTTTCGAATTTCATTTTCATGTGTTTAGGCTGAGCCTCTTTCATCTCGTTCTCTCCGTCTTTGTCATTTTCCTCTTTCGAATAAGTGGATCTTGGGCCAATTTCATCTTTTCTTCACTTGTACAAAAGAGTTTCTGGAATTTTCTTGGTGTTCTCTTTCTGGGTTTTCTAAGTCATAGCTTAGAACAATAGTAGATTGATCTTTCCTCTTGAATTTTTGATCCCCATCATTCTGCTTTTGGGTATTCTTTTAAGATTTTCAGCTGGATTTGTGCTTATTTTTCGATTACAGTGATAATTTGAGGTTGAGATTTGCATTTGCAACATCAAATTTCGAGTTAAAGGAATTTTTATTTTAGAATCTCGGCTCCATTTGATTCACAAGGAGTGCACTGCAGCTTCTAAGATCGTCCGCATTGAGGTATCAAAATTAAATTAGATAATAATACTAGGATCATGCTAGATGTAACTAATTTTTTTTTTATCTAATGCTTTACATACACTCTCAATAGGGGTGTGGGGACCATATGTTGGGATTATTTTATTCACGCGGGGTCCACGTGCTTGTGAGAGTAGGTTTAATAAACCAAATTATGTACACTTAGAATTATCCATAATACTAATAATTACAATGATAATATTTCTTTTACTTCTGTTAATGCCTTCGCATGAATGAACTTTTGCAAAACGTTTTTATATAATTTAAGATCCAAAAATTACCGAATGGGCTAATACTGTTTTAGATGTTTATCTTGGCATCTCTAATTTGACAATTTGAAAACCGAACTGTTAAATCATTTTCTTGATTTGTTGACAAAATAGGTGAATGGGCATGTCAAGTGAAAGTGAGGAAAAGATGATATCCAAAGATCACGTAGATTTAACATACATCGAGGAAGATACTAGTGGAGGAAATGTGGGTGGGAATGGTCCACTTAAAAAAGGTCCCTGAACATCTGCAGAAGACATCATTTTAATTGAGTATGTTGTCAAGCATGGAGAAGGGGACTGGAATGCAGTCCAGAAGCACTCGAGGCTGCCTCGGTATGGAAAAAGTCGTCGCTTGACGTGGACGAACCACCTAAGACCAGATCTTAATAAGGGGGCATTCATTCCAGAGGAAAAACTCGTATCATTAAAATTTTTTATATATTTGTGACTTATTTATAATTTTTAAAAAAATTGAGGGCTATGGTTGCAATTTGTTATTGCTGTTTGATTTTCTTTCCTTTTGTTTTATTTGAATGAAGGGTAAAATTATCTAAAATTGGTGAAAAAGACGTTCAGTAACAAGAAAAGGTGGAAGATAGGAGTAAAAATGTCAACACATAAAAGCTATAGGACTTTCTGCGTCAATTACCCATTTAAATATACTAACGCCACATTCACACGTTCCTCCACCTCCTTCCGCCACCCGTCACTCTCTCCTAGCCTCCCCGTACCAATTGCCGCGCCTCCAATCCTACGCCCGGTCCCCCCCTCCGCCGTTGGTCCACAATTAAGAATCCAAGTTCGAGGGCCGATGGCGAAAAATGGAGCAACGGTGGTGCGGGTGGCAACAACCATCACAAGCGAAATCAGCATAACGGCGAAGTGAAGATTAACCATAGTGGGTAATGTTGTTTCTGGGATTTTATACAGGTGTGTTAAATATGACAAGATCGTGATTAATCAGGAGTCACAGAAGGGACCCAGAGTGATTGGGGAAGAGTGGATAAAGCGGTTATGCTGATCACCGGTATCATCATTATAAGCATGGTGGTCCACCAAAAAGGTTTTATTTTTCCAATTGAGTGGATAAAATTTTTGATTATATTTAAAAGTTGAGTTATATTTTCGGTGACTGATCATTTGAATTGGATACTTTGCATGCAAACTTTTTCCAGAAGGACTGTTTCTGTATTCAATTTGGATTTTTCTTTTGAAGAAGAAGAGAGGTTTAAAATAA